ATTGAATGGATTCACCACTCTACATTGACTACGAGAAGGCATTTAGCAGCGTGAACGGGACAACACTATGAAGCTTCTTCGACTGCATGGCGTACCTGAGAAGATAGTCAATATCATACAGAATTCCTATGATGGATTACACTGCAAAATCGTGCATGGAGGATAGTTGACAGACTTGTTGGAAGTGAAGACCGGTGTCAGACAAGGTTGCTTACTCCCACCCTTTCTCTTTCTTGTGGTGATCGACTGGATCATGAAGACGTCAACATCTGAAGGGAAGCACGAGATACAGTGGACATCTAGGATGCAGTTGGACGATCTAGACTTCGCAGATGATCTGGCTCTTCAATCGATTAATGTGGCAGCATCCTCAGAAGCAGTAGATCCTAACATGCACAAAGGGAACTGAAAGATTTTCCGATACAGCACAACACGTACCTATCAAATCACAGTCGACGGAGCCTTGGAGGACGTAAAAACCTTTACATATCTGGGCAGCATCATTGATGAACACGGTGGATCTGATGCAGATGTGCAGGCGCGGATTGGCAAAGAGAGAACAGCATATTTACAGTTAAAAAACATCTGGAACTCAAAACATATGTCAACCAACACCAAGGTCAGAATTTTCAATGCAAATGTCAAGACAGTTCTACGGTATGGAGCGGAAACTTGGAGAACCACGGCCATTATTCAGAAGATACAAGTGATTATTAGCAGCGGTCTACGCAAAATACTTCGGATCCGTTGACCAGACACTATTAGCAACAACCTACTGTGCGAGAGAACAAACGAGGTCCCAGAGGAAGAAGTGGATAGGACACATATTGAGGGACGCACCCGACTGAGCCACAAAGCAAGCCCCCACTTGCAATCTTCAGGGCCAAAGGAAAAGGGAGATCTAAGAACATATTAAGCAGAGAAATGGAGACAGACATGGGAATGAACAACAATTGGATAAGACTATAAAGGAAGGCCCAGGTTAGAGTGGGTTGGAGGATGCTGGCCGACGGCCTATGCTCCACTGGGAGTAACAGGCGTAGGGAGAAGAGAACCAGATGAGCACAAGTGAATGTTTGACATTTCGTATTCGTAATGAGCGTGCAATGAATTGTATAGGGATCAATAATTTATACAAATGCTGCTGACCAAAAACAGACAGTGAGGTGTCGGAATGCTCACGCATCCTTATGGGAATTTACTCTATCAAGTTCTGCACAGGTGCACGTGTGCTTTTATCACAGAATATACGGGATACTGAAGAATATATTCTCAATAAAGCAAGCTCCCCATTTGGTCCTTCGTACGAAATCGATGTAAGAATGATGAGACTATTTTCCAATGGTTTGAAATGGGATCGGGAACGAGATGACCACTGATCTACTTTTACTAATCTATTTTTATGATAAATTTCCTACCCCTTCGGAAGGAAACTGTGTAATGGATATGGCTTTTCCGTTTGTCCATTTAGTGACGGGTAACTAGACAACAGGTTTAGCGGAATTCTCTCTGTAAGCAGTCTAAATGATTTCCGACGACCAATCGCTACTGTGATGTCAAGAAGTCTCTTAGTATATGCCTTTTAAAGACGAACAAGCTGCATCTGATGTACGAATAAACATTATGAAAAGATGAGTCACTACCGATATATGTATCAGGTATGTATCGTACAGAAGTGCCATGAAGATTATGTCCTCCCATACCATCAACTACACAGGATTTGAATGCCTTTCAGAAAGTAACTGTAATAACACTGTTCTGCATTGCACTATTATGCCTAAGAACTATTATCAGCATAAAGGACATGTGTATCTGAAAACCAGTGTCCTCCTTCCCAATCGCTGGCAAATGTGTCGCACCCTGACAGTAGGGAATACTGGTACATTTCCAAGTTTTATTAGTAACTCTAAGCCAAAGATAAAGAAAGGTTTAAGTCCAACACTAAACCAGAGGAAGCATCTATCTTTAGTGGGAGTGAACGTCTAATCAGTCACTAATTTTGTACATTTGGTTTCAAAGTCTGACAAAACAATTTCATGCAGATCTATGAGGTCGTTTGGATTTATTAGAGAAAGGTACCTTGAACTCCGTTAGACCTAGATTTCAAAATTGATAACATTAATATACTTAAGGCGCAATAGGCCCAGTTGAGTCCGAATTCATTTCAAAAACAAAGTCACTGAAATTAATTAACCATAGTCCAACTGCATATATAGTTGCTTACCTTCATCTTTCTGCCTAGAAGTTTTTCTAACTTGTCCTGTCTTTATCACAGACGAGTAACATATACCTTTCCCGTTCTTATAATTACGGTTAATTCTTAGCCTTATCAGCCTAGCAAAGACATTGTCGATGGTTATTCGCACTAATTTGATCCCTATAATAAGCATTGGTCACCTGCATATTAAAACGAGTTCGTGAGATCAAGAAACAAATATATCACGTGATAAATGACCCGTTTTTAGGTGACGGAAGGATACCATCACAGACAATGAATGTCCTAGGTTCCCTATTTAGCAGCTTACCTTAATTATCGCCATAGTCGAGCATTTTCAATAAACTGAGTAATACAGGCGGCGACTCAGGAACATTTCAAACTTTATAAGTGCAGTGTGTATCAATATTTAAGCTCCTATGCTAAACACTTCTTGCCGACAAAAGGCTGTAAATTATAAAACGATCATAGTGACTTGAAAAACAGGTAATGCTTTCACAACAAATAAGGTCATGTTTCACATAGATAACAAATGAAAGAGTGAACAGAAGCACACAACAGCTTTAAGGAGTTGCCACTTAATAGTACATGGAAAAAACGTTAGGAGTGACTGGAGATGGAATATTTACAGAGATAAGAGACGTGGGTATATTCACTGCAAAACGAAACGGAAACTATGTTAATTAGTCATACATTCATTGAAGCCATTCGCTGAGGTAGGTCTGACCGTTGCTGTAAATAATCTGCAGGATAAAAAGGGGAGAATATGAAGGCATTTGAGAACCAGCTCCATCGCACACCAGGCGCCTCAATACGGACAGGGCTTCGAAACGGATTTAGAAACAGACATGTTTGATTGGAACCATTGGTTTGGTCATAACCATCGTCCAAAATGGCATCAGGTTTACTTGGGCCTAAACCCAAAGAACTTGATACCTGGAAACCCCATAATGAACTGTATAAGCAAGAATCTGTAAAGAACACTGGCACACCAGTTTCCTTCAAAACGAAATGAAAACATTTTACACTGACTTAGAAATTCTAATACTATTTCAATAAATGTGTTAGATACCGAAGCTAAATGTTATGAAAACTGCTAATAAAATAAAACTAAGGAAATACAAATTGCTGCCCACAGACTCGGATGGTATAGATGATATTTTTGAACAATAAGTATGCGGACATCCAACATTTTCCAGATTACAGTAGGACTTTAGTCATGAAATCAAAATGTTGTCGATTACCAAGGTTTTTTCGGCTTCTTTTGTGACCATAGAGTATTTTCAACGAGTAAACTCAAAATATACAGACGGTAAATAAGACCAAAACCGCATGGAAGTACTACAAATATATTCCTTGATGACTCAATCAATGCTCACAATCTGTGTCACTCTATTTGTTAGGATTCAACTACAGGGAATTATTTATAAACTGCCAAGCAACGTTAACCCGGTCATGAATGATTATTGTCCAATGTTTGAGTACAAGCAGCTCTACTTGACGAACTATTCAAGGTGAAAATTTTTGAGTTTTTGCACAACCATTGTTACATTTGGAGGAAATCCTACACTTGGTAAGATTATTGCCCAAATAATTTGACGTCCGAGTCCGGCTATAGTGTAGACAGACAATCAGTCAGTGAGATCATAATAAAACCACATTGTTTAGACAGGTCTTATATATGCTTCAACGACTTTTCGAGTATTGTCTTTTTATGCTAGAACATGTTCGAGTTAGTTAGCTTATGACACGCTCCAACAAAAAGAATAACCATATGTGGGATGACAACTTTTAAAGTATTATAGGTCCAAGAATGGTAGAATAACTGAGCATCTTGAAACATCATCGGAAATATACTAAAACTGACTATCTTACGTCTTTCTATTTTCTTGCTTTTATAAACAGTAAATGTCATCTATAAAATGAACGATATTTCTTTCCATTACGATCTATTAATTAGTATCACCTTATTTGAACTCTCACTTATTTAAGTTTAGCTTGTGTGGCAGGACTTAGTGAATTTTAATATGAAGTCGACAACATATTACTGAAATACTTAAGTGCAATGGTAACCTAGTTTACTGTCATTTCATTTGATTTGCGTGTGGGCTATGATACTGCTTGGGTGTCCAGACTGAAACAGGTGGTTTCCTTAGGGGGCCACACCCGGAGCCTTCGACCTTAAGGTCTGATCCACAAGGCAATGGAGCATCGTAAGGAGATGCAGTCCCATGGAAGCCGGTGACCAACAACAGGTTCATACGCCATTTGTTCCTTCAGGATACTGGAGCCCATGTGCACCATCGGTTTGGAATCAGGGTTTCCCAACTTCCCTAGGTAGACCTTTCATGTCCACTAACCCGGTTAAAGCGCCGGACATTCGTTTTCCGTTCTCTGAACTTCGTAAACACCCCCGTCGGGAGAAGGCATTGAGTAAGACTTCCCAGACAGTGGCTGTATACGCGCGGTCATGTGAGAGCTAGGTTCAAGGCTAGCTACCATCCTACCGAAAAGTGTAGACGAGCATTGGTTGCAATTGTATGATGCTATAAAAATGGGGAGTAAGGTCGCTTGCGGCTTTGCGAAACGTCCCGCTTATAAGCGCCGAGTTTCTTCAAGCCCCTCCCCATTGAAGCCTGTCGATTTACTCCGAGTGACCGCGAGCTTAACTATAAACGAAGACTGTTGCGTAATGAGGCAAAGCTTGTGTAAGGATCAAGAAGCCTGGTGGTCGGAACGTGCCAGCAGCTACATCTGGTAACTACCGGAAGCTCTTTCAACTCATGTGAGTCACTGGCAACAAGGAATCTGGTGTGAGTTAAACAATCTGTGAAGATGACAGGATGATAAACAATAGCATTTAAGGACGTCTCGAACGATGGGCAGAGTTTTTCGGCAAACAATTTAAGTGGTCTGCTGTCCCGGTACCATCTATCAGACTGTTCTGCTCGTTTCAGTAACAACCATCGGGGGATAAGTCTACTTCCGATTGCGTCCAAACTATTAGCTCCCGTCATACTTCGTAGAATGTTCAAAACCCGAGAAAGACTGTTTCGCGAGGAGCAGGCCGGTTTTCGTTCCGATCGAGGATGTAATGATAATATCTTCAGCCTCTGCCAAAGGTTAAAACACTGTCAGACTTATCAAAGGCCAACAAACGTAGTGTTTCTTGACATCAGAGTTGCCTTTGATTTATTGGACAGGACTGTTCTCTGGGATTGTCTGTTGAAGAATGGTGTGCCTGAGAAGTTTCAGTCAATCAGCTACAACGTAGGACCAGGCACATATATGCATCGGTCCAGGTTGCCATACCGCATTAGCACAGCAAGATGAACACCGGATTCATAGGAGTGGTTAGGTCAAAGGTGGTAATATATAGGAGAAAGATTGCATATAAGGATACAGTACAGGAAGAAAGAATTAGTTCGTAGAAAGAAAGATATGAAGCAATTTTAATCTCTTAGTTTAAGGGAAGACAGGGAGCGTATACACCGACGCCATTGTGATCGATTCTGAGCCATGTCACCAAGAGTCTCCAACCATTGGTTACGATAGTCACGCGGACCCCAACCAAGTAGTCTGCATCTACCAACATGGCTGAGACTAGAAGTTAGTGACTTCAAGCACGGATGCCACGTTTTGGTTTGGCCGCCCCTAACTTTCTTCCAACCATCTCCAACACCGGTTAGCATTGCACGTCGTGGTAATCGGTGTTCGGGCATACGTAACACGTGGCCCAACCATCTCAGTCGATGAAGATTCACAACCTCATCAACTGATTTACCATCATTCCCTAATACCCTGCGTCTAACCTCACTATTACTTACCCGGCGATCCCAGCAGACGCCAGCAATATTTCTAAGGCATCTGTGGTCAAATACTAGTAGCTTACAAGTGTCTTCTACTCTTAAAGGCCATGTTTCGCTGCCGTAAATTAAAACAGAACGGAGTGCCGCGTAGTATACTCGTCCTTTTATTGATAGACGGATATCTCGCCTTCGCCATAGGTGACGCAAGTTGGCAAAAGCCAAACGAGCTTTTCGAATCCGTGCTGAGATTTCGTCAGACACCAGACCATTAGGGCTGATCAGACTCCCAAGATAAGTGAAGTTGTCAACGCGTTCGACTACTTCATTCCCTATCCTTAGTTCAGGTGTTGATGTAGACCAGTCCTGAAGGAACAACTTGCATTTAGCGGGAGAGAAGCGCATTCCAAACATTCTGGCATTGTTGCTTAGTGCTACCAAAACACTCTGCATTTGGTCAGCGTCTTCACCAAAAAGGACTATATCATCTGCGTATTCTAAGTCGATAAGTAGACCTCCTGGAAGGAGATCAATACCTGAGAATTCAGTAAACGAGAATGCTATTTCCATCAGTAGGTCTATGATGAAGTTAAACAGAAATGGAGAAAGTGGACAGCCTTGACGGACACCACTTGAGGTTGCCCATCGTTCTAAACGTCTGGACTGAGAGCAGATGAGGGTGTCGTCGTTTTCCGAAATAGTCTGACTTACACTTGACTTATTAATTCCAGTTTCTTTTATTAGTCTGTAGAGTTGTCTTGTGTTCCCTATAGTCACCGCCTTTTCCATCTCTTTTGCTTTCGTTGCCCACGACTGCTCACGGTCGTTCCTTAGAATTTTGGTTAGCCTAGATCTGATTTGTTTACGCTCTTCATCATGTTCAGAATCTGATGGGACGAGTTTACGAGAATCCATCAGTGTGATAGACCTTGAAGAAATCCACTGGTTCTTTGTAACTCTGTGGTTTAATTCACTAATAGATGTCACTGCTGTTTCCACAGCTGTTTGTATAGCTTTCCAAGCAACATCTGGGTCAGCCTCGTCTTCACAACTACCTAATTGTGACCTCAGTTGTTCCTGGAACCTACTTTTGGTTTTCCGCTACTCAACTCAGTTCTAATGAGTCTTTTTACTGTGGCTTTTTTGCGTCCAGTGAGGCGCAAGCAGATGCGTGTCCGTATTAGGGCGTGGTCGGAGTCCAAGCAGGTACTCCAGAATGAACGACAATCTTCTACCGACCCTCTCCAACGATGACTGATGGCAATATGGTCTATTTGAGTCCATCGTTGGTTTGGTGTAGGGGGTCGCCATGTTAGACGATGTCTCTCCTTATGCTTAAAATTTGAGTTTGCTAAAAATAAACGATTGTCTGAGCACAGTTGCAACAGACGATCACCATTATCTGTTCGCTGTGTCGGAATACTAAAATATCCATCTAAATGCCTTTCTGTTTGGTTTAAACTACCTATCTGGGCATTAAAGTCACCTGCTACAAGTACTATGTCTGAACGTTTAGCTTTCTGCAGAAGTTCAGATATCTTTCTGTAAAATTCATCCTTCACTTTATCTGAGCTGCAGTCGGTGACAGCCCAGGCAGAAACGACAAAAAGGCAACTACGTGTGTCCCTATCCTTCCGAGTTCTTACGAAGCCATTTAGCCGAACAGCACATAAACGACTGCTAACGGGGATCCACTCCAACAGTGCTTGTTCCTCCTTCATGGTTAGTGCTATACCTACACCTGCCAGTCCACGAGAGCTGGCCGTCGGGTCACTATATACACGGAGGGTGTATATCATCGAGGTGAGGTCAAGTGAATGACCACACTGGGATCCTGTATGCGTGTCTCAGAGACACAGCATACATCAATGGTACGAGATTCTAGGGTTCTAGCCAAGGAAGCCTGCTGACCGAGTTGACATAGGGTGCGTACGTTGAAGGCTCCAATGTGTAGTTTGGAGTGAGGTTTCAGTAGACCTGGACCAGTGTTAGGAGCACTAGAATCGTTGGCTATGGTGACACTTGAGGTGGGAGCCAGAAGAGGAAGTTTATAGTTGAAAGTCGATGTAGGGGGAATAATAGAAATTGATGAGGGAGGTTGATTATGAACACAGTGGTCTTAAGTGGTGTTAGTGTTGTGAGGTCGTTTGTCACTTCCCGATTGCCCGCAGCGTGGAAGGGTTCTTCTGGAGGTACCTGAAAAGGAAATTGGATTAGAGGTGGTCTTAGTGACCTGGGAATGTGACCGCAGTGCTCAAGGGACAACTGCTTGAGGTCGGTCACACACGACCATTTTATGGGTAATTTTTGTGTTAGCTTCGTACTTGTTGAGACCTTACCGCCGGAGACGGATATCGTGGGATAAGGCGAGGTGTGCATCTTTATGGTCGATCTTTTCTAACACCACCCCTCCTTGTGGGAAGGCAGCATCGCTGTCATGCTGGTTGTATGAAGGAAACACCTTACTGCTGTCACACCTCTGTACAGTCAGCAGTACGACTTCGCCTTCGGACCTTGGGTTTGATGCTTTTAGTCTTACCGCTCTTCAACCGACCTGTCTGACATGGTAGGACCTTGAGGAACGGTTGTTCCAGCCAGTATAGCTCGGTTGCTTCATCTCGATAGGCAAGCCTGACCACCACGTCAAGATATCAACAACGGCCTGAGAAGTTTGTTAACATCCTAAAGGCCCTATATACAAACACCTCAGGCAGAGTGAGGGCATACAACCACCTCTCTCCATTGTTCCATTCGAGCAGTGGGGTTAGGCAGGGTTGCACAATCTCACCATTCCTCTTCAACTTTGCGATCGATGACATTGTGGAAACAGCTCTGATGAATGTAAGTAATGGTGGTGCGGATCTGTTGTCTGGAGAAAGACTTCTCGACCTTGAGTATGCGGACGATATTGTCTTACCGTGTGATAATACCCAAGGCATGCAATCCGCACTTAATCAGTTGGCAATCAGTGTCCGTAGGTATGGTATGTGCTTTGCACCTTCGAAGTGCAAAGTACTTCTACAAGACTGGCAGGATTCCAATCCTGTACTCACCCTGGATGGTGAGCAGATAGAAATAATCGAGAAGTTCGCGTATCTAGGTAGCTGCATAATTGCTGGTGGTGGCGTGAATGATGAGATCAATTCACGTGTAGTGAAAGCCGGAGAGGCTTATGCCAATCTGGGCCATCTTTGGCGCCTTCGTGATGTTAGTCTGGATGTAAAAGGTCGGATCTACAACGCGTCGGTGAGAGCAGTCTTGCTCTATGCTTGTGAAACCTGGTCTCTCCGAGTTGAGGACGTTAGACGACTCTCTGTGTTCGATCATCGCTGTCTCCGAAGGATTGCTGACATCCAGTGGCAACACCATGTTAGTAATACAGAGGTTCGGCATCGTGTGTCCGGGCACAGAGATGATAATGCAATTGGTGTCACCATCTTGAAACATCGACTTCGGTGGCTTGGACATATTCTACCTAGAGAATTCCACGTTGAGCATTAATTGCCGACGCTGGAACTGGTTGGAAAAAGCGAAGGTGGTTAGTGTATGACACCGTGTCATGGTATGAAAGAGAGCTGCACAGGACTAGCTTCTGTTGGTCCATCACGACTCCCTGGTTGGAGTCCTAGAGATGATGCAACGTCATCAGATATGTAGGTATCATTACCAAGGTTTGATTTGATAATTTCGAATAAATTGAGCATTGGGTTGATTGTTATAAATAAAAATAATATATTTGTAATATCCCAATAAGTAGAAAATTAGATTTTCTGATGTTTCGTGACTTAGTGTAAGCCACTTCTTCAGAGAATAAATAACCAGATATTACAAATATATTATTTTTATTTATGTCATCAGATATGGCTCAGAATAGAAGCCAGTGGCGTTCTTTTGTAACTTTCTTTTATTTTCTTCATAAAAAATGGACGTAACTTCTTTAACTGGAAGTGTTCTTTCTGGTTGTACCTTTGCCAACTGAACTGCGATTCCCATTATTATTATCTCACTTTCATACACTAATTTCTGTTCGTTATTGTTCGCCTTTTTTATACGCACTTTACATTCTCTCTCTTCACATTCTCATTGTTATTGTGGGGCACATATGTGTTTGGTGCCCCTTTGTACCAATATTTGTGTTCAAATAAATAAATAAATACCTAGTTTATGGAAACGTTAAGACCGATTATTAGCTTAACATCACAATTCGAACACGCATTTTATTACAAGTTCACAGGAGACCAGAATACTAATAAAAATACGACAAACAAATTTGCGTAAACTTACAGCGATGGAAGACAGTGTGAGTGGCCAAGTTGGATAGGCAGCGAGACCAGCATTGAAACCTGAAAACAAAACAGCTAGCCTTGAAACTAAAGGTTAACGTAATTGTAAAACTTTGAAAGATTTAACTGATTGTGCAATCAAAAATAAGACCGAATAAATCCCCATTCAAATTGGTATATTGATTTTAACTCTACACATTCATTAAGTGCGAATATTTCCCTAACCCTGAATCTCTTCAGAAGAGCAATCAGGATCATTACTTAAGAAGAAGACAAATTAAAGGAAAGAGAATATAATACACATCCTACGTTTCAATAATTTTCTTAAGAATATTGGTTAAAATAAAACTATCCGTCTGTAAATAACAATCCTAATGAAAGATCTTGGATTGTTACTATGGTTTTATCTTAACGATAAGGTAAAACAGAAGAGTTACAACGGATATTGAAAATATACAAAATCAAAGCTTTCTATAAGACAACTAACACTCTTAGAAACGCTTTAGTTAGAATAAAAGATATGATCCCGTTCACTTCTACACGAAGCTGTGTCCATTTTGATGCGTGACGAATGTTATCAAATGACTGTGAATAGGATTTTTCTGAATAAGCGTTGAAGTAAAAGCATTTTTTCAGTAGTAATTATCATTGATTTGTGCTGAGAACTGGACAGGAAGTTTTATCAAAAATCATATAGCAAGTAACTTATAGGTACTCAATTGTTGATATAAATTAATTTTTAAATCTATTTGAACTCACCAGAGTATTCTCTAACCGTTTGTATTGGAAGTTAAGTAATACGAACAAACTTAAGGTATTAGATGAAGTCTTAAAAATAGGCAATTCAAAATAAACATTCTACATGTTATTTCTTAAGTTAAGTATGCGTCAGGAAATATACATAAGTTTACTACAGGAAACTACAGAATTGATTTGATCCCTTAACAGCTTAAATACACAAATTCTGAACGATTATTAGAGCACGAATATATCATGTATGTCATCAGTGCCTTACTTATGGAAATTAAATAAATATATAAATATTTGAAAAGTTATCGAGTAATTTAGAGTGGAATAAATATCCATTTTTTAATGCATAGATTAAAGACATCTAGATAACAGTCGGTTCTTCATATTATTTATAGGGTAGTTTAAGATTAAAAAAAGGGATATTTTCAAATATACCCAAAAATTATTATGAACTGAAAAACTCAACAAATATACAATTCTAATGATGACGACCCTTAGAAATATCGTTAGAAATGTTCAGTTTGCAAAATAAGTTCACCTTTGCTTTACATACATTACTTACCAATAATTAAATCAGGCAGTTCACTTGTTGGTTTTTGAGTATGCAAAAATTCATGATATAATCCACTCCAAACACTTACGGACAATCGTGACGAAAGATGATAAACAACTCTATCTGCTGCAACATCAAAATGCCTACCAATGAAATAGATATAGATTCTGAGTTGTGGTTTGAATAAATGATCCAGTTCCTGTTTTCAAAAACATAATTTGCTCAAATGTGGTAAGAATGGCATTTTTATGATTTATTTAATGATAATGAAAAAAAAAGTAACTAATGTATACTCTTTTAGTGGTGCTTCGTTTTCTGCGGTGTCAGTACAAATGTTTTTAAACCTTTGGAGGATAAGTTACCTAGTTTTGTCACATCAATAGACATTTACGAATTTAGCAGCTCTTGTGAAGAAAGTAATACCGGGCAAACAACAAGACAACTTAGCAAATCAGCTTATGAACACCTCCCTTCGTTATTGGGAAAGGGTATAACAAAAATACACAACTCCATTCTATCACATTAGGTCGATAGCGATCAATCAGCCAAACACTCTTAAACCTAGAAAATATATACATCTGTTTAAATTACCACACATCTTTATCACATAAAGATGAAACTGTCAGGACAAATTCCATAATAGTAGAATTGGTAACAGTAATAATAGTAATAAGAAAGACTAGGCACTCAAGATAAGACTCAAGAAAATATAAATTATTGAAATAATAAAAACATGAGGTAGTAGATAGGATCATATCATTAAAAGTAATACATTCTGCTTTTTTATGGTGTTCGATTTCATCTCCATATCTGCCCTCAAATGGTGAGATTAAAATTACTGTATGCCTTGCTTTCTACGAACTAATTCTTTCTCCCTGTATCATATCCTTACATGAAATCTCTTACTTACTTTACTTACGCCCGTTACTCCCAATGGAGCATAGGCCGCTGACCAGCATTCTCCAACCCACTCTGTCCTGGGCCTTCTTTTCTAATTTCATCCAATTCTTGTTCATTTTTCTCATGTCTATATTCATTTCCCGGCGTAATGTGTTCTTCGGTCTTCCTCTTTTCCTTTCGCCTTGAGGATTCCATGTGAGGGCTTGTCTTGTGACGCAGTTGGGTGCTTTCCTCAATGTGTGTAGTATTCACTTCCAGCGCTTCTTCCTCCTCTGGGATCTGGTTTGTTCTTTCCCACAGTAGGTTGCTGCTAATAGTGTCCGGCCAACGGATCCGAAATATTTTGCGTAGACAACTGCTAATAAACACCTGTATTTTCTGGATGATGGCTTTCATAGTCCTCCAAGTAGAACTGTCTTGACATTTGTAATGAAAGTCCTGACTTTGGTGTTAGTTGACAGTTGCTTTGAGTTCCAGATGTTCCTCAGTTGTAAATATGCTGCTCTTGCTTTGCCGATCTGCGCCTTCACATCTGCATCAGATCCACCCTGTTCATTAATGATGCTGCCCAAAATATGTGAAGGTTTTTACATCTTCCAAATCGTCTCCGTCAATTTTGATTGGATTGGTGCATGCTGTGTTGTATCGTAGAATCTTGCTTTTCCCTTTGTGTATATTGAGACCTACTGCTGCTGAAGCTGCTGCTACACTGATCGTCTTCTCCTGCACTTGTTGTTGCGTTTGGGATAGAAGGGTCAGATCATCTGCGAAGTCTAGATCGTCCAACTGCATCCTAGATGTCCACTGTATCTCGTGCTTCCCTTCAGATGTTGACGTCTTCATGATCCAGTCGATCACCACAAGAAAGAGAAAGGGTGGGAGTAAGCAACCTTGTCTGACACCGGTCTTCACTTCCAACAAGTCTGTCAACTATCCTCCATGCACGATTTTGCAGTGTAATCCATCATAGGAATTCTGTATGATATTGACTATCTTCTGAGGCACGCCGTAGTGTCGAAGAAGCTTCCATAGTGTTGTTCTGTCCCCGTTATCAAATGCTTTTTCGTAGTCAATGAAGTTGAGGTAGAGTGATGAATTCCATTCAATTGATTGTTCCACAATGATCCATACAGTTGCGATTTGGTCTGTACACAATCTATCCTTACGGAATCCTGCCTGTTGGTCACGAAGTTGGGCGTCTACGTAGTCCTTCATCTTGTTTGACAATACCCTGTCGAAGACTTTTCCCGGTATTGAGAGAACAGTGATGCCCCTGTAATTTTCACAGTTGCTGAGATCGCCTTTCTTTGGTATTTTGATCAGGAGTCCTTCTTTCCAGTCTGTCGGTACTTGTTCCTCATCCCAAATCTTATTGAAGAGAATGTGGAGTATCCTTGCAGTTGCCGCTACGTCTGCTTTCAGTGCCCGTGCTGGAATGTTGTCTGGTCCTGCTGCTTTGCCACTCTTGATTTGCCTGATGGCCATGCTTATCTCTTCAATTGTTGGTGGGCCAACATTGATTGGGAGGTCCGTGGGTGCTGCTTCGATGTTGGGTGGGTTCAGTGGGGCTAGTCTATTCAAGAGTTCTTTGAAGTGTTCTACCCACCTGCTTCGCTGTTCCTCACTGTTGGTGATTACCTCGCCTTCCTTCCTTTTCACTGGCCATTCTGATTTACGATGATTTCCAGAGAGTTTCTTTGTCGTGTCATACAATTGTCTCATGTTCCCTTCTCTTGCAGCCTATTCCGCCGTCATTGCTAGTTCTTCCACATATTTACGTTTGTCGGTTCTGATGCTCCTCTTCACTTGTTTGTTTACTTCCGTGTATTCAGCTTGTGCCTTGGCTTTCTCTGTTCTTGTTCGACTGGTATTGATTGCTGCCTTCTTGTTCCTTCTTTCTTGAATCTTATCCAGTGTATCAACAGTGATCCATTCCCTGTGATGGGGCTTATTGTGGCCCAGAACCTCATAACATGTTGAAATGATTGCCTCTTTGATCCCCTTCCAGCTGCTCTCCACAGTAGTTCCTTCTACATTGAGTAGATCATGAAAGGCCTGAGACTTATTGCTGAGGACTATCTTGAATTTGTTGAGTTTGTCTGTATTCTGAAGAAAGGCCGTTTTGAACATCTGTGATGTTGTCCGCCTTGCTATGCAGTGCTTCTTGAGTTTCAATTTCATCTTGGTGATCAGCAAGTGATGGTCTGATGCTATATCAGCTCCTCTCTTGGTTCTCACATCCTCCATCGTCCTCCTGAACTTTTTGATAATGCAGATATGGTCGATTTGGTTCTGTGTAGTGTGATCTGGTGGAGTCCATGTGGTTTTGTGTATGCGTTTATGTGGGAATATGGTGCCGCCTATGACCAGTTTGTTGAAGGCACATAGGTTTCCAAATCTACCTTTTATATATTATTGTCATTGAAGTAACTATATGAATTTGGTGTTCATTTTGTTGTGCTAATGAGGTGTGGCAACTTGGACCGACGCATATGTGTCTGGTCCTACGTTGTAGCTGACTGACTGACTTACATGTAGTGGGAGCCATAGGGATCTGAACTAGCAACTTTAGTGTCTATATTCATAGGAAATTTGCAATGACCTTACCTTCTTGGGAGGATAGGGTTTAATGACCCAATTATTGTGTTTAGTCATATGATCCACTCCTCTGTTATCGTTAACTCATAAACCGCCATGATTGGTCTAATATCTCTATACAAACACATTAATATTATTGAGTATTAGAGTGAAGACTGATAAAGATAAAGTTGAAAATAATACTGTTTACTCGTATCTGCTGTCGTAAATATTTGTTTGTTCGGTTAGCACTTAATTTTCAGATTCTTTTTATTTATATGAAGATCTGCAAGCGTACTGTGTTCAAAGCTATGAAACTAAAAAAAGATACAATTCGTGATAGGATCTATTTGGACAGAGGCACATCCTTTTGGACATACAAAACAATTTTAAGGAATAACAGAAAAAGAAGTCATCTTCAATACTCATTGTTTATGCATTTAAAAAACAACCTATCTACTTAGCTACGATTGAACATGTACCATACGGCTGAAAGTCGAGTACATAAACGCATATTCAGTGAGCAAATTATGATCCAAAACAATGTATCTTAAGTAGTGCTAGAGTAAAACGCTTGTTTATTAATCGCTAATGAAATAATACAACTTTAGAGAAATGCACTAAGAGAACTGTTAAACCTACGTATCCAGTTAAGACTAATATTATTATCAAAATTATGGAATGATCACTTCAGCATACTTTGAATACTGGCAAAAGAGAGAGTTCTTTTTCAACTCCAATCACATGTATGATAAGTTTCCGATTTATCAAAATTTTTGGGATACAGAAGGGGTCTATTGGGAAAAAGGAAGGAAGAACGAAAAATGACATGAAAACACATCAATAAATTACTCATAACTTTACAGTAAGAAGTACAACAATTATGCCAAAGCATAAAAATGTTGGATATTCGTCTGAACACAGAAGACAATACTTATTTTTGACGAGTTATCAGCTTAATTTGTAAAACGTTTTAAGTTGAACATACATTTGCAAAGGAGTGTTAGAAAGTCGAACGGACACATTTAATAACGTAGAAAACAACATGACTCCGCGTTGTGAAAATTCAGATTAGGACTGCGAGCTCGATACGTTATAGTCAACGTAAGATCAGTCGGATCAACCCAAACTACCAAACCGCTACAACATAGAGTTGAGATCGCCAAGATGAAGGAAAATGGGGAATCAATGATAGAAAAAGTAACAGGTTGAAAACCAATATTGAGAAAAATAGGTAGAACAAATGAAGTTAGGCAAAGGACAATACAAAGTTGAAACCTACAGAAGGGTAAGAAAGTACGAACGTATATTCTACACCGAGATTATTTTTTAGGCATGTCATTCCCCAACAACTTATTACAGTCGTCTCGCAGATTTAAAATCAGAAGTTTGTGTCTACGTACATAAATTAGTGTAACGACTAATAAGCTTATGGACTGTCGTCATACTTTGGTCTGCCACTTTGATGAGTAAACGAACAGAACTCATGGGCTACAAATGATAAAAGTTAGAGTAAGAAGAAATCTTGAGAGTCATGCACACACTGTTTGATAAAAACCAGTCAGGAATCTACAAGACTCATTAATATTAGTAATTTTGCCAAATAGAACTGTGGTGAAGAATATATATTTGGTAGATCAAGATAGAGCCCGATTGACTTTTTTGGAGCTTTTGTTCCAATTATGCCTCAAATGTTTATGAAAGTTAATATCCTAGGCGTCATATTATTCAGTCGATTTGATAAACGTAAGGAAAAAAACTACTAAAATCACCCTGTCTAGTGGCTCCTCAACAGGAAGAAACACTGACTCTATGCGTTACTGAAACAAAAGTTCACAGCACCATAAAGTAATTCTTGATTTTTAAAAGCACGTCCATTTAGGGCTAGGAGAGTTTAACTGGCCAGTGATATGGCACGACTTACTGTACTTTATTATGTTATTGCCATTTTGGAGCAACTGGTTAATGGATATATGACTATATATAAAAATAGAATAAAACTGGCAGCTTGAAAAGAAAACTCACTTATTTGTGGAAGCTTGTGAGCAACAATATGATAAAGAGTAAGAGGCCAGTGAAGTAGCAAGGCCAGTGGATTAGAAATACTTTCTTCATCCGGAGAGCAAAGGCCTCGCCACTTGTAGTAGTCAAGCCAATTACGCAAATTTATATTCACCAAGCTTGGATCTTGAAGATCTGGAGCAGGAGAGTCATATAATGGAGACAAACTCATAATTACAGCGAGTGACGGGGACACGAATGCTCGGAATAGAGCATCCTCATAAGATGAAGACGAGGACAGAGTGACCGGTGAGAGTTTTTCAGAATCCATGGTGGTGGTAGTCCACAAATCTGAGAAAAGTGGGAGATCACCACCTAAAACAACGATCAATAAGCAGATTGAGTAAGGTATGTATCATTATTTTTAACGTGGCATCACTGGTTTGTATGAAAATTCTCAATGTTGGCATCCTCATGTGTAAATGCCTTGAAAGTGTGACTCATAATCTGGAAGTATTACGTTGTAACTAGCAAAAACTAACTGACTTTTTTTCTACGCAACAGATAAGAAACAAAAATATTATGAGACTATAATTTATGGACTACCTCTGTGCGACGCTGGAGTGACCTTGAGTGTTCACTTAATAGCTAGGACCAAATGAGGGTTATAAACCAACGCGATGAATCAAAATTATGACTCACAGTTGATGGCCAATGTTAGGAATTAGATTTAGAGTTTTCACCACGAACTTACATTAGCTATGATGCCAAAACTCTATTTAGCCAAATGGACGAGTGAATTTTGCGCTAAAAACCGAAACCTTTTATACTATACCGGATTGGTTCACCCATAAACTATAGTCTCATCAAAAATAATTCTTAAAAAAATGAGAACGAAGCGACTGTAGGCTGATAAAACCACCGCTATGAATGGAAATGTTAGCAATTAAGTAATCCCGAAAACTATGGAGTGGTTTTGGAAACAGTAACGAAAAGTATCAAAATCAGTTGTAGCTAATGTGCAAATTTTGTTTTAGAATTTGATATTTATCAGACAGAAAGGATGATATGGTGAGTGACTTCTAAGTGCCCTGAGTCAAGTAAATTGATCCGTCAAGCTTTTCGAACCGATGAAGATCTGGAAACCTGGTTTCTCCACTACCTCAATCCACCTAGGAAACCATGCGCTCAGACAGTTATGGAGGTTTCCACGTTAATACACCAACAAACATCACAATGAGAACAATAGATCAGTTTCAGTTTCAGTTTGGGAAGGACAGGAGGCTCGATGGCTTATGTTAGTCCTGGCAATGGTGGTCTCTCAGTTGATCCAACTTTCTTTTGAAAGAGTCGACGGATGGAGCCTCAACCACGTGCTGAGGTAGTGAATTCCACTCGTTGATGATTCGATGGGAAAGTCGATAGTCAGCTGACAAGTAATTTGTTCTCGGCTTATGAACTTTTTTGGAGTGTCCTCGTAAATTCTCTGTTTTGGAAGACAAGAAAAATGAGGGCATGTTAGGTGCAAATTTATCACTAAGCAATTTGTAGACTGTAATCAAGTCGCCTCTAGTTCTGCGATATGACAACGGGAAAAGGTTCAGCTTGGCCAGTCGAGATTCATACGGAAGCTTCGCTATTGCGGGAACCAGCTTAGTCGCCATTCTCTGAACCTTTTCCAGGAGCTCTGTCTTTTTTAAAGCAGGGGCTAGCCGCTTGTATGCAGTACTCAAGTTTAGGACGAACGAACACTGTATACAAAGTCAAAAACGTCTTAGTGTCGACATGACTAAAAGCCCTACGTATTGACCATAAGGTTCTAAAACCTTTGACGACTCTTCCACGGCAGTGTGCAGTAGTCTTTAAGTCTTGACTAACGATAACTCCTAAGTCATTATATGTCTGGACGACAGGTAGCTCAGTGTTATTCATCGTGTATGTATCTGTGCCTTGATGACCGATATGCATCACAACACACTTGGAAGTATTTATCGGCAACTGCCATGTTTGAGACCATTCAGATAACTTCTTCAGGTCATTTTGAAGTTCTAAGCTATCACTCTTACATCGTATCGTTCTCCATATCTTGACATCGTCAGCATATAGCAAGACCGATGATGATAGGAGACAAGGAAGGTCATTTACATACAAGAGGAATAACACTGGCCCCAAAACTGTACCCTGGGGCACTCCACTAAGCACAGTTCCCCAGCTAGATAACTTTGAGTTCACCCTTACTCTTTGTTGACGCCCAACTAAGAAGTCTTTTATCCACATCAATAAATTACCTCCAATTCCGACATTTCCTAACTTATATAACAGCCGGTTGTGCGGAACTTTATCAAAGGCTTTACTGAAATCAATGAAGGTGACGTCTACAGGTAGCTTTTGGTCCTTAAGAGCACACCAGCTTTCACGAGCCACTAATAAGTTAGTGAGACAAGAATAACCTATTCTGAAGCCATGCTGCTTCTCCGAGAGGATCCGGTTTTTATCGAGATACTTAAACAGCTCCTTCCGAATAATCTTTTCTAATATTTTAACAACCACACTAGTTAGGCTAACGGGGCGGTAGTTCTCAGGTTTGTGTTTCGTGCCTGTTTTGAAGACAGGACTTACTATGGCGTTTTTCCAATCTTTCGGTAAGCGACCCTGCGTAACGGATAGGTTAAAGCATGTACTTAAAGGGTTCGCAACGAAGTTAGATAATTCCTTCAGTAGCCTAGGATGTAATTCATCGGGCCCCGTGGATTTACCTGTGTCAAGCTTATTTAGCAGATCAAAGACATCGAGTTCTTTAATGGTCACGCTATCCAGTGTATGTATGGGGGGATCTGTATACGCTGACGAGAAGGGCGCTTCTATGGTATACACGTTGCTAAAGTAGTTCGAGAACGCTTGAGCCTTACCAAAGTCGTCCTCCACTAATGATGAAGCAGTACTGTCTCCCCATAGAGCAGGAATATTTCCTTTTCTCCTTGTCCTTTGGTTTATATAGGAATACAAGCGTTTAGGACATTCTATGGATTCCTTAACAAGTTTTTCTTCGTACAATTTTCTAGACTTACGGAGGGTCGAGGCACAAGTGTTCCGAGCCTTTCGATACTGAGATTTTGACTCATCAGTCCCCAGTAACCTAAATCTATCCCACGTTTTCCTCTTCTTACGGAGAAGGATACGGACCTCCCTACTGAACCATGGTGGTGAGTTTTTCGGCCCCTTTGGTATAGTCCAAGGGATGTGAGGTGTGGTAACTTTTAAGTATCATTTTCGAAATGTGCCCCAGGCCGTTTCAATGGAGGACTCTGGGTCTATTGTCCAATCTATTAACGATGCTGAGTGCATGATGTCTGGTATGTTTGCTTTCCAGACGTTGGGTCTGGACTGGACTGACGCGTCCTCATGACTGGCAGTTATATGGAAGTCGAAAGTTAAGACTGCGTGGTCACTTTTACCTAAGGGTGGCATATGGTGGAGGTTCGCAACATCATCCTCATAGTGAGTCAGTATAAGATCTAATAAGGATGATTCAGTGTCCGGGTCGTACCTAGTCGCTTCTTTCACATGTTGCACTAGGGCACATGTGATAACCGCATCAACTAGTTCCTGCTCGAAGGAATTTTCTGACGATTCAGTTCGCAGATTTTCCCAGTCTACCATTGGTGCATTAAAGTCCCCTAGGATTAGACATCGACCACTTTGGGACCAAGTATTGAGACTGCTTAACAGGATCTCATGTGCCTCACAGCTTGGACTGCGATAGACCAAACCAATCAGCAGCTCTTGTCCCTTGCATTTTAAGCGAAGACTAACTAATTCACACGTCCCACTCTCATGGGATACACTATCGATAATGGTAAACGGAATAGCATTCCTAATGAATAGAGCTACTCCCCCTCCTTTGCGCTTTTGTGTTCTGTCGGCCCTTACTAACGTAAAGCCCTCGAAATCAAGTTCTATACTACGACGACCTGAGGGGTCGTGTTATGTTTACCATTTGAAACCGATCGAGCCTTGCGATTGCGGCTCCTAGGTGTTCCTGTTGGATCCCATCTGGGAGACGGGGAACAGAAGACCCTACTTTTCTTGAGCTTTTTTTAAGGCAGACCCCTTTGGAGACTGCTTTTCCTTCTTCGACGGGCGTGAGTCATCTATCACCGGACTCACCTTAGTTTCCTTCACATTGATTTGCGTGTCAACAGATCGAGTGCTGTTTGACGCGTTCCGACTATGCTTGTTGAAACACTTCTTGGCAGCATCAACTAGTGAGATAGCCTCGGTTAACAAGCTGTTTGCATCCGAGCAGCACTGTTGACAAAGCCACACACAACCCTTCTTACTGAACCGTTTGAAAGCAGCAGGCGTTAAGTTCGTGCAAACTTCGTGGTACCAGCCTTTGCACTCGTCGCACTGCATGCCGCTTTCAACAGGATAACGACAACCCGGACGTTGACAACTGCTTTTTTTTACACTGTCCGGTCATTTAGGAGGGGTTTTTTCAATATGCGATGATACCCAGAAACAAAAAAATTATCAACGACCAAAAAAAGTGAAGAGCTGTAGATTGCTAGGACCAAAAGTACTAACAGATACAGTTGAAAAAGTGGTACTAAAGAGTACCAACGACAAAACAGTAAAAACGATACTTTAGTCGAATACTTTAACTGAAATAAATTCAATTAAAGTGAAAAACAGTAGTCTTGATACGTAATAAACGATCAAAACAATGAAATTTACTCAGCGAGGAAAAATACCACTGTCCTTTTTAAATAGCGCGATCTTTTTGATGAAGAGTACACAAAGAGGTAACACATTAATAGTTGGGAATGATAATTTATTTGGATCCATAAAATTACCTGGAGAAATCTGGAAATGATGTGAATTAGAACAAAACTCATATTTCCAGAGGCCTTGGCGATTTACTCCGAAATGCGAGAGAATCTCGTCTAATTTAAACTGCGTAAAATCTGCAGCAGTAGTTACTGGTAGTATTAACTACAAATTGTTTAGCTTACTGGGAGCAAAAGTAAAAGGCAATTTCTGAAGAATGGGTTCAAAGTTCATAAAATCTTTCATTTTGCTACACCATTGCTGATGACTGTGATCTGGATTGTCCGGAGATATCCAATCCGCAGTCCTGCACTTGTCACTGCAGTAAAATAATGCTTTACATTGAGAGCTAATTGAAGTAGATGGAACTTTCGGCAACTGTACCAGTATAAAGCCTGATCCTCTGGAATTTCTTTGCCGCAGACGCAGCAGGCAACCGCAACTATCTCCATTTCATCTGACCTTCTAATTGAACACTGAGCTAATAGCTGACACAATTCGTAAATAAAAACAAGTGCGATGGTACTAATTGGACAACCAAAGCTATTAATGAATGTCCGTTTCCAGAAGATTGTACTCTGAAATTATTTTGAGCATGGGGTGAAGTGCTATCAGGGACAACGACTGGACAAGCCTAATTCATTCCCAAAAGCTTATTCTCCAGAAGTAAGAAAATGAGGGATAAAATTAGTAGGAAACTTACCACTCGCACTCCTAAGAGATCTACATGGAATCGTGGATAGAGGTGCCATAGAATTTACATATTCGTGTCTTCATACTCAGTGACGGAGAAGAAATGAATCAAGCGAGAACTAGGATGCAGATGTTCCTGAATATATAATAAAAGGTGAAACAACAGTTAGACTGAGTAGAAAAGACTGGACTGAAATAGTAGCAGTTCTAGATTAAAACCAGAATCAAATCTCTTTGTAATTGAATTGGATTTTTGTTGAAACTGCCACTTATAATCACCAGTAACTGTATTGAAACAGAAATAACACTGGGAATATAATACCCATCAATCGTACTGTACTGTAATTAATCCAAGGTTGCATTTAATCTTCATGCACCAAAGTAGATCCAAGCTGTCCAGAGTGTCAATAACTCAACAGGTCTCAAGTATTTATGCATCAAGAAAGTGTAGGGCCAGTGAAATGTCACTGAGCCCTAGCCAAATCATCCGACAGTTGTTTCATTGAATATCGAACAGATCATCGCTCCCTGCCAACGTCAAGTACAACCAACGCGCATCAGTTAATCGCATGCCATGGACTGGCCCATGCGGCAGTGGCCTTTCGCTTGTATCTACCTTAACTAATATGTTTCTGTAATAACGTCCTTTGCGTTGTACAGTCTTAGAAGCATCTATGGTACCTTGATACGTCAATGGGGTAGTCCACGTAAGGTGCTGACCACGAGGTGTGACTTAGACGTTCGCTGGTTCATCACACCATTCCCGTCTAATTCGAGTAGGTCTCCAATCATTTTCGACATAAATCATCTACGTTGGTGATCTACAAAAGGAAACGCGACTAACAGATGAAGAAATAGGCAAGCGATCGGACAAAAGAATATTAAGAAAACTGAATCAGTCACACAGCCGACCACAAGTTGGCCGATAGAATCAAAATTGTGCATTTGACAGATAGATGCTCAATCAGATATCATAATCCGAAATGAGTATACGGTTATGTTTGTAGGTGCCGAATGTTGACACCGCCTTTATACGTAGTACCTTTTTAAGCGAAGTATTCCAACTTAATCAAACCACAAGTCGAAAATGAAGGGGTTTGAAAATATATTTGGAAGGCAGTCGACAACAGCAGCTAAGTTCTGCTATTCAAAAAAGACTGGTTATTTTCTTCTGAGTTTATTTTATGGTGTTAATCGTTAACTTGCACATCAAGTCTACTGTTTTTGCTTTAAGTGAATTTATTTCAGTTAAAGTAATCTTTATGAGTACCGATTTCTTTCTAGAGAAGTTTATTATCTGTATTTTATGAGTACAGATAGAAAAAACTAAGGGGACTGGCATTTATTTTTCATCGTTGAGTATATCTTTCAGTATTATTTGTATCTATAAGTGTTAAGGTCACTGCTGAAGTTGGATTTTTTATTGTTGGGTAGAGTCATAAACAAACCTTTGTTTTTATTTGTGTTCAGTGTCTATTATTGATCAAGCTTTAAAAGACCAAAGAAGAAACGGTTTCAGAAACTAAAATTCCACAGCGTATCAAGACAGACCTCGCTGAGAGGCCAGTCATTTTTCATAAGTTAAGAGAATCTTCCGATAAAGAAACAAAGGCTAGATTTGAGCATGACCTCAGTAATATCAAGTCCTTAATAAGCAAGCTACTCCCTAAAACAGTTTCAGGAGTTAGCATCTTTAAGCTTTAAAGAATAGGACAGAAGGTGGATTCGGAAAGTCCTCAGAAAAGCCGCCTCTTGAAGGTTACATTAGCCACTGTTGGAGTAAGGAACTTGATTCTAGGTAACTCACGTAAACTTATTGGACTCGGAATATACGTCCGTGAGGATCTCAGCCTAGTCGACCGTATTAAGAGACGAACTGAAGAAGTGGAAACAAATGAGCGTTGCCAAAACGGTGAAAGAAACCTTGTTCTTAAAGGTTTTCAAATTGTAAACGTTCGAAGCAAAACTATCCCTAAACCACTCTGGGTGTTAAGAGAAAATTCTTCACATAGTTAAAGATGTGCTATACAAATTCTCGCAGCCTACAAAATCAAATGACGGAGCTCATGACTGTGGTGGTCATAGAAAATCTGGATGGTATTGCTATCTCAGAAACATGGTTAGCGTCAGAGATTTTCGATAATAAAACTCAGTTGACTGGTTTTTTGTCCAGTAGAAGTAATAGACTAAACCGTATAGGTGGTGGAGTTATCCTGTACACGAAAAGTACCTTAACCACAAGAGCAGTTGAGTAAGTGGCATATGATTCAGGGACATATAAACTGGTGCGTTGCAGGCTGAAGTGTAGACGGCATTATATTAGATTAGTTGTAGGATACCGCAGTCTAGAATGTGTAGTAGATGATCGTCTCCCAAGTAAACTTAAGTCCTGGTGTAACAAGAGTAAAAGCCATGTAGTAGGCGGCTCTAATGCACCGTATATAGACTGGGTTAGCGTAGAAGTAGGGTCCTCGATAACGTCATTCTATTGCAAACTGTTAGGAACCTCAATCGCACTAGCTTTATTCCAACACATTAGAGATCCTACCAGATATGACTTACTAAGCTCCTCGTCTCTCTTGGACTTAGTCTTCACACTCGGTGATGACGTTGGTCAAACGACTTTCCTTCCACCTCTAAAAAGAAATGATCATGCAGTCATTTTATTCAAATTCATGGCTGAGATGGTCTGACAAACAGTTGCTCAGGCTCTTCCAAACATATGGAAGGCAAACATGGAGTCAATGAACTCAGCAGCATCGGCTGAAAACTAGGAAATTGACTCAGAGACATAAGTAGAAAAGGCATGGACTCATTTTAGGTGGTTACACAATCACGTAGCTCAACCATATATACTCTGGACAGTCCCAAAGAAGAAGAAGGAGAATCACGACTATCCCTTGGATTGACCGGGATACTCAACATTTGCTAAGACAAAAGAAGATATGCTAGAATGTTGCTATCCGCCTTGGCACAGTAGGTCCGATGGGAAGCTACAGATCGGTAAAAAACACGTGTATAACTAAAATTCGATTAGCTCAAAGAAAATATGAAATGCAATTGGCACAATCTGCACTCAAGCAGCCCAAGAGAATATTCTCGTACATAAACCACAGAACAAGGATGCATCATTGGATTCCCAACTTAGCTAAAGAAGGGAGTGAATCTGAAGTGATAGAGGAAGATCAGGAAAATCAAGCACCACGGCTAACTATTTTGGGGCAGTTTTCACTCAGGAATCTGTTATAGACGAAGAACTAGACCCGAACACAAAGTCAAAAAACCTCATGCTCATCGTGGACTTTGACCGATACGATGTAATTGAAGCTCTTAGCACCTTGAACACGGAAACGTCAACAGGACCGGATGAACCACACTCTAAATTCTTGAGACATATTGCACGATATATCGCAGCCCCATTGATTGTGATATTCAATATGCCACTTGGCCAAGGTGTGTTACCTATGGACTGGAATGATGCAATCGTCACTCCCATAGATAAAACAGGACCAAGACAATTTCCATCGATCTACAGACATGTCAATCTCACTAGTGTTCTAGTTAAAATAATGGAAATAATAGTTAAAAAAGACCATTTGTGGAAACCAACAACTTGTTAAACAGAGAATAAAATTGTTTCAAAAAGGCTTTATCTTGCACAACAAACCTTCTCATAGCAAGGGAACATTGGATAAAGGCGTTAGACAACGGAAACTCAGTGGATGTTGTCTACATAGAATTCAGTAAGGCATTTGATAAGGTGCCGACAAATAGACTGCTAATGAAGTTAGAAAATTTTGGTATTGCCGGACCTCTCTTAAAATGGCTTAAGGATTTCCTAGTAGGTCGTAGACACAAAGCAAGAATATGCTCAATGTGCTCCACCTGTTGACCAGGAGTACTTCAAGGTTCTGTCCTAGGTCCCTTACTTTTTATACTGCATGTAATGCATCTCCCAAGTATATTACAGTCCCCAGTGTTAACATTCTCTGACGATATAAAAATCTGGCCAGTAATAACCGGAGACGCAGATGAATGCCCACTTCAGACAAACTTAGATAATGTGATTAACTGATCTAAAGTGTGGCTGATGCCTATCAACGTGGCAAAGTGTGTCTACATGCACTTTGGGGATACGAAAGTCAATAAATACAGCATATGGGAAGTGCCTGTACCTGTGGCCCGGTCTCGTAAGGATATAGCGGTGACAGTGAGTAATGATCTTAAGACGACAGCCCATTGCTGGGAGATCGCAGATAAGGGGTTTAGAACTCTCTGGGCTTTAAAACGAACATTCACTGATTTAGATACTACCATGTTCACCACAGTATACACAACCTTAGTGAGAACTAAACTTGAGAACTGCGTTCAGGCTGCAAGCCCTTGTTTAAAAGGTGGCTTGGATATCTTAGATAAAGTACAGAGGGCAGCTACCAGTGCAATTCCAGAACTCCGGGGTTCACCATACGAAGAGCGACTTGAAAAGGTGGACATCTGTACTCTATTCTATCCCAGACTAAGGGGAGATCTAATTTTGATGTACAGAATACTGG